AAATACGGTTTGGCCGGGCCCGGCTGCTATCTGACAGCACCCCAGCCACTGTTTGAAGTATAACGGCTTGAATAAAGAACTGTTTTTTGGGCTGGGATTAGAAATGGAAGTTCTTGTTGAGCCACCCCACTGTATGACTCTGTGGCACTGGGCAATTCTCCCAGGCATCCCTGACCAGAGTATCACCCGGCCCAAAGCGTGGCTTGGCTCTGCCACACTGTCAACTCAGAGCACCCCTCCTGCCTCTCCCAGCGACTGTACTAAGGACAGTAGCTTGAATAAGGAACTCTTTTTGGGCTTGGATTAGAAATGCAAATCCTTCTTGACCACCCCACACTATGACTGTGGCACTGGTGGACTTCCCCAGATGTCTCTGACCAGAGTCTTGCCTGGCCCAGAGCGTGGTTTCTTATGCTGCTAACTGCAGCCCCCCATATCCATCAATATAATAAAAGGCTTAGTCTGGCTGTGTGTGTGTCTGTCTGTATGCCTGTCTGACCATAATGCTTCTAGCCAGCTGCGCATGCACCCCCAAGAGGACAGGTGGCAATTGGCTGGGTGGCACACGCTGCGTGAGCCCAAGTTTGCACCGCTGCCAGGGCATTTTGGCGGTGGGGAACGTGGCCCAGTCATCTGAGCAGCTGGGCTGCCCCCTGCCACCCTGCCTAAGGGCCAATGGGGTATCACAGTGGCTGCCCATCCTGGATGCCTCCCAGAACAACCAGCAGGGACAGGGAAATGGGGCAGGGAGGGAGGGGAAGGGAGGCAGGCACATGTGGGCCAGGTGGACCCAAAGCAGCTGTAGGGGGAAGGAAGGGAGCAGGGTCGGACGTAAAGCAGCGGGAAGAGGATGGGAATGGGACCAGACTGAAGTGGTGGGAAGGAGGAGGGGAGTGGGATTGGATCCAAAGCGGAGAGCGGGGACAGGGGCAGGGTTGAACCTGAAGCAGTGGAGGGGAGGGGGGTGGCTTGGGGTCAGGTCTGAAGCAGCGGGAGGGAGGTGCGGGTACAGCGGGCCAGGCAAGTCTCTGGTCAGAGATGTCCAGCAGAGTCCCCCAGTGGCACAGAGACATGGTCTGGGGTGGCCCAAGAAGGATTTCTTGGTATAATTGCACCCCAGATTCCATTTCCTTATTCAGGTCCACGTACTTAGCACAAGTACATGTACTTGGCTGCGGGGTTGTCAGTCGGTGGTTGGCAGCCTGCTATAGCCAAGCTGCACTTTAGGCCGGGCAACCCTCTGGTCAGAGATTTCCAGCAGAGTCCCCCAGTGCCACAGAGGCATGGTGTGGGGTGGCTGAAGAAGGATTTCTGGGTATAATCCCAGCTCATACTCCAGTTCCTTATTCTGTTCCATATGCTTAGCACAGTGGCTGGGGTGCTGTCTGTTTGCAGCCTGGCAAGGCCAAACTGTGCATTGGGCTGGGCAAGTCTCTTGTCAAAGATGTCCTGGAGTGTCCCCTGGTGGCACAGAGATGTGGTCTGGGGGGACCAAGAAGGAATTCTGGGTATAATCCCACCCCAGATTACAGTTCTTACTTCAAATCCAGATACTTAGCACAGTGGCTGTGAGGCTGTCAGTCGGCAGCCTGACAGATCCAAGCTGCGCTTTGGGCCGGGCAAGTCTGTCCTCAGCGATGTGCAGGAGAGTCTCCCGGTGCCACAGAGGTATGGCGTGGGTTGGCCTAAGAAGGATTTCTAGGTATAATCCCAGCCCAAATTCCAGTTCCTTATTCAGGTCCAGATACTTAGCACAGTGGCAAGGGTGGTGTCAGTTGGCAGCCTGGCAAGGCCAAACTGTGCTTTAGGCCAGGCAAGTCTCCAGTCAGAGATGTCCAGCAGAGTCCCCCTGTGCCTCTCAAGCATCACGTGGGGTGGTCCAAGAAGGATTTCTAGCCATAATCCCAACCCAAAAGTCTGTTCCTTATTCAAGCCATTATACTTAATACAGTGGGCATTGGAGCTGTTAATTGGCAGCCTGGCACAGCCAACCCGTGCTTTGGGCCAGGCGGGACTGTGAGCAGGGTTCTTTGGGACAGTTTCCCAGTGGCATCGACAGAAAATTTGGGATGACCCAAGAAGTATTTTGCCCCATAATCCCATCCTAATCTAACCTTCATTTAGGGTTCTGTACTTGATGTGGGATATTGTTTTTCATATTAATTAGTACATATGTATAGCTAATGAAAGTCTCTCTCTTTAGGATGTGCAATTCATTAATAAATTTTTATTGGGTCTAGATTAGCTTTGAAAAAGGAACCAGGAATAAGGAACTGGGAATAAGGAATAGGGAGTTGGGAATGAGCAAAAATTTCAGCTTCATTGCCTGATTCAGGTCTATTTCAGGTAGTGGGGATGGCAAGGCTCCACCAGTACCTGGGCACAGCCAGGTCCCGCTGCTGCCAGCCCCAGCCAGAAGCAGGAGTGGAGCTGGGCAGAGCCAGAAAGCCCTGGGGACAGCTCAGCCCAGGCTTTGCACCCAAGGGCAAAAGGAACAGCTCGGCTGCTGGAGGCTTCTCTGAACCAGGAAGAGACCCCAGGTGCACCTGGGAAGGACCCCTATCGCTCCCCTAGAGCAGCCACTTTCTAGCTCTTCACGCCACACACCTGCCCTGCAGAGACTCAAGTGCCTCATCTCACAGCCAGTGCCAGCCCTGCAGTGGGCAGA